ATCATAAAAGGATGGTAATTAAATGATTTTAAATGTCTTAGGACAAATAAAAAAATAATAATTTGAAAATTATTTGAGGGTTCTATACTTCCTTTCAAGGCTTAAATTGAGATTTATATAATAACTATGACCCATCAGTACAGTCTAAATGTGTTATAATTACTTATCATGCATTTAAAATCTACTTGCAGATAGATAAGCAAATGTTCGGATTGCAATGAATATATAATGGTTAAAAAGATATGACCTAAAAAATTTAAAGAACATACTAAAAAAGAAGAATGTTAGATTGAACAAGTTGAAAGTTTAAAAAGATAGAGAAAATTTATAAGTACAAGGGTACATAATACATTCGGATGGAAAGTTGAAGAAAACACACTTTAACAGACAATTTCTACTACATTTACGACAGAATTTATGTCGATTAAAAACCTCCTGATCTGAGTCCTAATCTCCTGACCAAAAATTCCCAAACTCCTGATCTTAGTTTCACAGTCCATCACATGTACAGTACTGCAAGGTACCATACCATAAAGGGAAGGCTGGGATTGAGTTTGGGGGTGATGAAAAATTTTTTTAGGGGGGGGTTTTTTCCTTTTTTTTCCTTTTTTATACGACCGCAAAAAAATTTTTGTGGTCGTATATTGGTATGACGTCGTCGTCGTCGTCCGAAGACACATTGGTTTTCGCACTCTAACTTTAGTTTAAGTGAATGGATCTCTATGAAATTTTACCACAAGGTTCAATACCACAAAAGGAAGGTTGGGATTGATTTTGGGGGTTATGGGACCAACAGAAAAGGAAAAAGGGGCCAAAAATAAGCATTTTTGTAATTTCCAGACATAACTTGTGTGTTAGTGTATGGATCTCTCTGAAATTGTACCACAAGGTTCCATATCACAAAAGGAATGCTGGGATTGATTTTGGGGGTAATTGCCTCAAAATGTTAGGAATTAGGGGCCAAAAAAGGGGCAAAAAACAAGCATTTTTCTAGTTTCATGACAATAACTTGTGTGTAAGTGTATGGATCTTTCTGAAATTGTACTACAAGGTTCCATATCACAACGGGAAAGCTGGAATTGAGTTTGGGGGTAATTGCCGAAACGTTTAGGAATAAGGGGCCAAAAATAAGCATTTTTCTAGTTTCCAGACAATAACTTGTGTTCAAGTGTATGGATCTCTCTGAAATTGTACTGCAAGGTACCATACCACAAAGGGAAGGCTTGGATTGATGATTGGGGTAATTGCCTCAATATTTTAGGAATTAGGGGCCAAAAAGGGGCAAAAAACACATTTTCTAGTTTCCAGACAATAACTTGTGTTCAAGTGTATGGATCTCTCTGAAATTGTACTGCAAGGTACCATACCACAAAGGGAAGGCTGGGATTGAGTTTGGGGGTGATGAATCATAAGGGGGTTCAAAAAATTTGGGGAGGGGATTTTTTTTTTTCCTTTTTTTTCTTTTTTTCCTTTTTTTTTTCTTTTAAAATTTTCCATTTTAAGTTGGTTATTTCTGATTTATATTTAAAAGCAAATTATAATGACATGGTAGGAGATACACACCAAACAGGATGTGTAAATTATTATATAATAAGTATTGTGCAATAGCAAGAAATTTTCAATTGCACAGTATTGCACAATAGCAAGAAATCTTCAATTGCACAGTATTGCGCAATAGCAAGAAATCTTCAATTGCACAGTATTGCACAATAGCAAGAAATATCCAATAGCACAATATTGCGCAATAGCAAGAAATTGTCAATAGTACAGTATTGCGCAATAGCACGAAATATTTAATTGCACAGTATTGTGCAAAAGAAGATACTTCGTATAAATTGCTTATTTCTTGACCAATTTCAATGGGGTTTTATTCTTGAATTCTTGGGGTTCTTTATTATGCTGAATCTAACCGTGTATTTAGTTTTTGGAATTTGGGCCCCTTTTTAAATTGGTCCACATTGAGGTCCAAAGGGTCCAAAATTAAACTTTGTTTGATTTCATCAAAAATTGAATTATTGGGGTTCTTTGATATGCCGAATCTAACCGTGTATTTAGATTCTTAATTTTTGGTTCTGTTTTCGAATTGGTCTACATTAAGGTCCAAAGGGTCCAAAATTAAACTTAGTTTGATTTTAACAAAAATTGAATTCTTAGGGTTCTTTGATATGCTGAATCTAAACATGTATTTAGATTTTTGATTATGGGCCCAGTTTTCAAGTTGGTCCAAATCGGGGTCCAAAATTAAACTTTGTTTGATTTCAACAAAAATTGAATATATGGGGTTCTTTGATATGCTGAATCTAACCATGTATTTAGATTTTTGATTTTTGGGCCCCGTTATCAACTTTGTCCACATTGAGGTCAAAAGGGTCCAAAATTAAACTTTGTTTGATTTCATCAAAAATTGAATTCTTGGGGTTCTTTGATATGCTGAATCTAACCATGTATTTAGATTTTGGATATTGGACCATAATAGGTGAATGTCCAATTTAAAATTTTTAAGTTCTTAGACCACATTCATTCTGTGTCAGAAACCTATGCTGTGTCAAATATTTAATCACAATCCAAATGCAAAGCTGTATCAAGCTTGAATGTTGTGTCCATACTTGCCCCAACTGTTCAGGGTTCTACCTCTGCGGTCGTATCAAGCTGCGCCCTGCGGAGTATTTTATTTTCTTTAAAATTTTCCATTTTAAATTGGTTATTTCTGATTTATATATAAAAGCAAATAATAATGATATGGTTTGAAAAGATAAATTAAAAATTTTTAAGTTCTTAGACCACATTCATTCTGTGTCAGAAACCTATGCTGTGTCAAATGTTTAATTACAATCCAAATTCAGTGCTGTATCAAGCTTGAATGTTGTGTCCATACTTGCCCCAACTGTTCAGGGTTCGACCTCTGCGGTCGTATCAAGCTGTGCCCCAGCGGAGCATTTTATTAAAATTGGAGTTATCTTCCTTTGTCCATGATTATAGTTAAATCAACTGCAATCAATGCTTTATACAATACAATGTTTAATTTTGCCTTCCACTGATAAAACACAGATCAAGTTGAATTTGGGTAGTGTCACTTTAACCATTATTGAGTTATGCCCCTTTTTGAATCGAAAAATTGCTAAATTTTTAGTTTCCATTCTGTAACTTAAGTTTGCCCCAACCAAACATTAGCAGTCATGGGTACTACTTGTACAAGTAATCTTTATTTACTTGAAGAAGTAAATAAAATAAACTTATATAACTTATAATAAGTTAATTATAATGTTTGAATAATCTCCCCTTAATTTTCTCAGAAATTTACTTGTATAAGTAAATTTTTTTTACAATCCCACAAAAATTTTTGAGATGTAATAACATGCCTTTAACAATTTTTCTCAGGTTAGCTCATAATTTTTTTATTAAAGTTCAATGTTTCATCTCATTAATTCAGCAAAGAAACTGATTGCGCAAAGATCTTAAGTATTTGCGCAAGGCCTTCAAAAATTGCCCCTTGGGGGCTTGTAAATGAGCAGTGTTCTGAAGATAACAGACAAATGAGATTTTCATTGTCCATGAAATTACACTTAAATGATAAGTAAAGACATCTGCAAATGACAGACAATCAAAAATTCTATTAGAGCAAAGAAGTCCTAAGAATTCAAGAAAAGAAGATAGGATGACTTTTTTCCTTGTATAAGTAAAAAAATATGAATGTCTAAGGGACATAACTAAGCCCAATTTTTTTTTACCTATAGATACAAGTAAATAAAATACACTTGTATAAGTATCCTACAAATTTACTTATATAAGTATATTAATATTTACTTCTTCAAGTAAATAAAAATTTCTTGTACAAGTAGTACCCCTGACTGATTATGAAACCTATACACAATACTCATTACCACAAAACTAAGTTAAGTACAAATATTGTTTCCGTTCTCTAACTTTAGTTTGCCTCAACCAAATGTTATGAAACTTATACACAATGCTTATTACTACATAATACAGATTAAGTACGAAATTTGGTAGTGTCACTTTTACCATTCTTGAGTTATGTCCCTTTACAAACATAAAAATTGCTGAATTTTTCATTTCCGTTCTCTAACTTTAGTTTGTCTCAACCAAATGTTATAAAACTTATACACAACCGTTCAAGAGTTATGCGTGTTTACAAATAGAAAAATTGCTGAATTTTTCGTTTCTGTTCTCTACTAAGGTTAGCCTCAACCAAATGTTATGAGACTTACACACAATGCTCATTTCCACAAAACTCAGATCAAGTTCAAATTTGGGTAGCCTCACTTTTACCATTCTTCAGTTATGTCCTTTTATAACTATATGATATGCAAGCGGAGGCATCATCTGTGGACACATGTGGACACTAATCCACATTTATTTTTATTACATTTGAAAAAATTACTGTCAAGAAAACAAGCTGTTATAGTCTTTTGTTAATGACTGGTTCCATGGTGGCAAGAAATATATTCATAATTGATAAATATTCATTTAATCATGTTCAGTTACAATTTCATAAACTGTACAATAAATTAATCTTATTTTATAATTGTCCCCTGTGCAACATGGGTAACTACAGGATGTCTATTTATTCAGGCTTGTAAGGGCTTTTCATGAACAATTCATGTCAGATATTTATCAAACTTATATAAGAGGTTTATATCAGCAATGTCTAGGACGATTTCGAAAATTAGTGCATATCATACTTTTAAAAGAGTTGTGTCCCTTGGAAATATTAATTATATGGAAAATTGCATCGTCACCATGTGTACAACTCTTTGTTAGGCATTATATTTACATGTATTTCAAGGATTTCTCTTAAATATTCAAACACTTGTTAACTGATGTATATATACATTGTATATATATATATACATATATATTTATATATACATTTAACTTTAAATTTGGGAAAATTTTTAAAACTGCAAAAAAGCTATCTCAAAGAAATCAATGACTTTATATTGAAATAAACATTTTTATGTTCCAGTATGTTTGCTTTTCAGAATTCGAACTACCTGTAAACAGTGGGTTGAAAATGGTATAAATGACACAGAAATTAAGAAACCTGTGTAAGGGATTTATATATTGCTCACTTCCTGTGAATCTTCCCCATTTGTCAACACCAGAAACCTTCACATCTCAATAACATTTTATATTAGGAATTGGTAAAAAAGAAAGTTAATATCTGCATATACCTGATCTAAAAATACCATTCAAAGTTCATTTTCTTACAACACTTTTTGTTTCGTACCAGTAATAAAATTATAAGTGTCATGAAAAAAAAAGAAATTGGTCTAATATACTGTAAAGATCAGACAAATTTCTATAATGTTAATAATCATCAGACATAAAGTCATCTGTCAACCAGACAGTTGGAGAGTTGTCTCATTGGCACTCATACCACATCTTCTTATATCTATATAATAGAAGCTTGTTCAATCTTTTTATGAAAAGAAGTAAGAATATGATCATAAATCTGAACTATGACTGGTATTTTTAAAGGTGATGTTATCATATGTTCCATGCAATTTCCTAAAGCATACACAGTTCAAGACTTCATGATCTTAGTTCACACACACACTTTTCTGCCTTATAGTTCTCTTGATGACAAATTTATGAAAGTATGATATACAATGTATGCAGTACACTTCTTCCACCTTACCCAAGCTAAGAGCAAGGGAATATTTGCTGATGCTTTGTCATATTTCCCAGTGAAAACTATCTTACAGCACCACTTTATACTTGAATTAAGTTTTTATGTTTACAAATTACTCCAGTTCAAGTTACAGAAACATGTCTGATTATGTTTTTACTTCGGCTGGTTACTACATGTACAATGTATGAAGTGTTTAACCATTGGAAGTAAGGGTCATACTTACAATACTATTCCAAATTCATAGGATCTTTATAGTACCATTTGAAGACATGTTAAAAGATGAGTCATTTATACATGTATGTAAAATTACAAATATGTTTATAGCCATTATATATAATTATTATACCCCATGCAACGAGTTGCGGAGGGTATAATGTTTTTGACCTGTCTGTCCGTCCGTCTGTCCGTTTGTCAGTCCTGTTTCTTGTCATCGCAACTCCTCTCAAACCACACAACAGAATTTCACGAAACCTTTTTAGATAATAAGGACATACTACGTAGATGTGCATATCGACAGGAAATTACGATTCAATTATTTTTCTAAGAGTTACACCCCTTTGAAATTATTTACTTTAATGTACTACTGCAACAGTTTGTCATCGCAACTCCTCTCAAACCACACAACAGAATTTCATGAAACCTTTTCAGATAATACGGACATACTACGTAGATGTGCATATCGACAGGAAATTACGATTCAATTTTTTTTCCAGGAGTTACAATGTACGCCCCTTTGAACTTATTTGCCCAATATACTACTACTGCAACCTTTTGTCATCGCAACTCCTCTCAAACCACACAACAGAATTTCATGAAACCTTTTCAGATAATACGGACATACTACGTAGATGTGCATATCGACAGGAAATTACGATTCAATTTTTTTTCCAGGAGTTACACCCCTTTGAACTTATTTGCCCAATATACTACTGCAACCTTTTGTCATCGCAACTCCTCTCAAACAACACAACAGAATTTCATGAAACCTTTTCAGATAATAAGGACATACTATGTAGATGTGCACATTGACAGGAAATTATGATTCAATTTTTTTTCCAGGAGTTACGCCCCTTTGAACTTATTTGCCCAATATACTACTGCAACCTTTTGTCATCCCAACTCCTCTCAAACCACACAACAGAATTTCATGAAACCTTTTCAGATGAAAAGGACATACTACGTAGATGTGCATATCGACAGGAAATACGATTCAATTTTTTTCCCAGGAGTTACGCCCCTTTGAACTTATTTGCCCAATATACTACTGCAACCTTTTGTCATCGCAACTCCTCTCAAACCACACAACAGAATTTCATGAAACTGTGTAGATAATAAGGACATACTATGTTGATGTGCATATTGACAGGAAATTATGATTCAATTTTTTTTTCTGATACAATTTTTATACGACCGCAAAAAAAATTTTGCGGTCGTATATTGGTATCACTACAAACCAGTAAAAGTCTGAAATGGCCTATGTCTGTACTCGTCCTATACTGATTTTTACTCGACCAGTCTGAATTGGTCTGAAATTTACTCGACTTTACTTGACCCTAGTCTTAACCATACTCGACTGTACTGATTTGTACTTTACCCTTATCTTTGCCATTGAAAATAGTCTGAACTATTACTCGACCAGTCTGAAACAGTCTTAACTCATTCTCGACCTGTACTCGACCTATTTTTTTCAGTCTAAACCATACTCGACCAAAGGTCTGAACAATACTCGACCAGTCTGAACCATATTTGACCAAATAACCTCTACTTTTTCTAAATTTTAATTGTTAAAATAAATTTCTTTTTAACTGACATGACAACAGCCACAATAAAATAAAGATATATTATAAAAACAGATTTTTACATTCTTACATGATTCTCAGATTTATCGAATAGAGATAGTTAAATCAAATTATCTTATATAATAATTTAATTATATTAAATTTTTAAAGTTTTAGAGTTTTGTTAAAAAAAGATTTTCTTTTACCTAAAAATCACACATATACTGAGGGTAATTAACCTTATTAAGGTGCTTCTTGTTTTGCATGTGTTTTTTTTCTAGATAAAAACTACATATATAGGTTTCATGGTTACATACAAAAAATGTACAATAGTTATATAATTATCTTTTTAATGAGGTAACAACAGCCAACAAAATCACTGAAATTGTTTAACCTTATTTTAGAAATATATCTTTTATTATAATTTGGGATATATTATATACAATATATCAAAAAGGGATAAAAATTAAAGAAATTAATAAAATTGTTCTTCTGATTAGTGGTGAAGTATAAAGTAATACCTCCTGCTTGGGGCAAACTCATGAAAAAAATCACACCTGGTCAGAGAGTATTAAATTCTAAATAACATTCATTCAAAATTGCAACATCTTGTGAAACTTAAATCGCAAGGCCTTTTGAATTCATTAGATAAGTAATACACGAGTTTAAGAAAAATAGGGCTTTCTTTTTACCTGTAAAACACACATGTACTGAGGTAATTAAACCTTATTAAAGTGCTTCTTGTATGCCATGTCTTTAATTTTGACAAAAATTATTTAAATGTAATTGAAATAAATTTTTACTGTAACTTTGGAACACATTTCCTTTTTTAAAAGTTTATCACAGGATTACTATGGAAGTTCTATTATCAGGATTATATTAAATTCTTGGTTTAACAAAACAAAGGTGTCATTTTTTAAATTTATTAAGTTGCTTTATATGCTATTTTATATATATTTTAATAAAAAAAAATGTTCACTGCATTATTAACTAAACTCAACTGACACCATTATATACGAGGCTTAAGTTAATGGTGAAAATTGTCCAGTAACCATAAAATATATCTGAAACATTCAAAAAAATTTGAATAACATTGAAAATATAAGTCACAATTCAGTTTTGAGATTATTTGATCAGCTTGTTTTATTTTTATTTTAAAGGTGAAATATATGTATGTATATAAGTGTTGATGAATATGGTGATGAAGTTATATTATGTTTATTGTGAAATTTTGGTTTCAATGCTATATTGAATACATTTTTAATTTCAAATTGTTGTTCAAATTTCTAGCCAGGGGAAATAGTTGTTGTTAAAAACAGCTCCTAAATTGATGAAATACAATAGATAGATACAAAAAATAGGTCTAGGTTGGTTAAGACTTGGTCGAGTATGGTTCAGACTAGGTCGAGTATGGTTCAGACTAGGTCGAGTATGGTTCAGACTAGGTCAAGCATGGTTCAGACTAGGTCGAGCATGGTTCAGACACGTATAAAATGGTTAAGTACTGGTCGAGTAAGGGTCGAGTACAAGTTCAGACTGTTAAGTACGGTTCAGACTACAGTCGAGTATTATCAAGTAAATTTCAGACCAATTCAGACTGGTCGAGTAAAAATCAGTACAGTCGAGTACAGATATAGGCCATTTCAGACTTTTACTGGTTTGTAGTGTATGATGTCGTCGTCGTAGTCGTCGTCCGGCGTCGTCCGAAGACACATTGGTTTTCGCACTCTAACTTTAGTTTAAGTGAATGGATCTCTATGAAATTTTACCACAAGGTTCAATACCACAAAAGGAAGGTTGGGATTGATTTTGGGGGTTATGGTACCAACAGTAAAGGAATTAGGGGCCAAAAAGGGGCCAAAAATAAGCATTTTTGTAACTTCCAGGCATAACTTGTGTGTTAGTGTATGGATCTCTCTGACATTGTACCACGAGGTTCTATATCACAAAAGGAATGCTGGGATTGATTTTGGGGGTAATTGCCTCAAAATTTTAGGAATTAGGGGCCAAAAAAGGGGCAAAAAACAAGCATTTTTCTAGTTTCATGACAATAACTTGTGTGTAAGTGTATGGATCTTTCTGAAATTGTACTACAAGGTTCCATATCACAAAGGAAAAGCTGGAATTGAGTTTGGGGGTAATTGCCGAAACTTTTAGGAATTGGGGGCCAAAAAGGGGCCAAAAATAAGCATTTTTCTAGTTTCCAGACAATAACTTGTGTACAAGTGTATGGATCTCTCTGAAATTGTACTGCAAGGTACCATACCACTAAGGGAAGGCTGGGATTGATGATGGGGGTAATTGCCTCAATATTTTAGGAATTAGGGGTCAAAAAGGGGCAAAAAACAAGCATTTTTCTAGTTTCAGGACAATAACTTGTGTGTAAGTGTATGGATCTTTCTGAAATTGTACTACAAGGCTCCATATCAGAAAGGGAAAGCTGGGTTTGAGTTTGGGGGTAATTGCCCTAAACGTTTAGGAATTTGGGGCCAAAAAGGGGCCAAAAAACACATTTTTCTAGTTTCCAGACAATAACTTGTGTTCAAGTGTATGAATCTCTCTGAAATTGTACTTCAAGGTACCATACCACAAAGGGAAGGCTGGGATTGAGTTTGGGGGTGATGGGGGGGGGGTT